ATTAATGCTACTAGACATCTCAGGATTATTATAAATATAATTTTTAAAAGAATTGTCTGTTTGAATCTTTGTCCCATTCAACATTTTTGATTTCTTTTTCTGATTAAAAAATCTATTTAAATAATAGTTTTTACTGTATATATGTTGCAAATATTTTTCCAGTTGTCTTTGATTTCGTTTAACTTTGTTTATAGTGGTTTTTGCCATACATAATTTTAATTTTTAGGTATTCAAACCTACTAGTCTTTTCCCTTATGGTTTCTGGTCTCTGTGTTCTACTTAGAATCCTAAGATTATTAAAAACACTATTATTTCTATAACTTTATGGTGTTTAAATATTTACTCCATCTGTAGTTTCTTTTTGTGAATGTTGTGAAGTAGTTTTTCTTCCTCCAAATGGATAGTCAATTTTCCCAGTACAATTTATTGAATCTGTTTATTTGATTTTACAGAAATGAAAGAAAAACCCAAAGCAGAAGAACCAGAAATACCAGCAATTATGAATGAGATTCATCCAGAAAATGATGTCTATAGTTATGTTTTGTTTTAACATTGCTCAAACATAAAGTTGTAGTCCAATGGAACATACAGCTTAATAGTTTATGCGTGGCTTTCTCAAAATGTTGTAAAACTTTCGACAATATTGATACTTACTATTTTTTCTATTTGTAGACCATATCTGAAATAACTAACATTTTTTAAGGCTCTACCACATAGATAATATTATGCTAGGGTGTGTGTGAGTGTGTATGTGTGTATATGTTGAGGGGAGGATAGTGGTGAGAAGAGACAAAGAAGGGGAGAGGACTGGATAGTGGAAAATCATGTAAGTCTTAAGAGCAGATAAATGACTAAGACTGAACACTTAGATTTTGGGGAAATGTAAGTGTTACATTAATTTTCTTGTAAATGCTGTCCAATTATTAATGTAACAGTAGCATCAAAATTTTTTTCAGGCTTTAGTTGGCTCTTTTGGTTAGTTTTAACAAATTTCCTTAAAAGATATTTTGGAGTGATGAATGTAGTTTACTTTTGTATTTGAATTTTGATTTTCTATTTTTACTTTTTAAATTGTATTTGTGCAAAATGTACATTAAATCATTATTACATGCTTAACTGTGTGGATGGCATAATGTTAAGGACTGTGGGGTTAGAAGACCTATAAAACACCCCATGCAGGATTTAATTTAGTTTCATGGGGAAAAAAAACAGAAAATAACTAAAAAAGAAAATGTTAAGTGTTGGTGCCATTTGAATGGTAGACACAAACAGAGAATGCTCACTTTTTGCTGGAATGACCTGAAAACATTACACAGGTATGGAGCCTTGAAAGATGAAAAGGATTTGTGTAGATGAGGATAGCAGCATTACTGTATTTGACACAGAGAAGGGTAACTTCAAGACATGTTCAAGAGAATGGCAGGCAAACTATAGTTAATGTAGGCTCCATATAAAATAGTAGTAGGCTTGCATGAAAAAGCTTATGTTATTAAAGCATAGAGATTTTTGCATACCTTACCAAGAAGTATATCATTTGTTAAATAATAGGGAATGAAGTAAGATTTTTGAACAATGGAGTGGCAATTTTAGTATTTTAGGAATATGATAAAGATGGTGATAATAGTGAAGATGAACTGAAAACAACAAGAGACAGGGGGCAGGAATAGAAACTATTCTGGATGGGAAGATGTCTGAAAATCTACCCTGGTATTTTTTGTGTTCAGTTTTCCTTCTGTTATTACAGAGGACTAAGGAGATTTTTGCAAATAAAGGTTCATTCAGCAAGAACACACTTGCACAAAGTTTCTGTATAGGCACTATGCTAGGCTACATCAAAGAACAAGGCAGAGATTTTTGCAAATAAAGGTTCATTCAGCAAGAACACACTTGCACAAGGTTTCTGTACAGGCACTGTAGTAGGCTACATCAAAGAACAAGGCAGAGTTCCAGTCCCTCAGGTATTTATGGTATAATGAACATGAGAGAGCAGTGGTTCTCTCAACCCTTCTGGTACATTAGACTCACTTGGGAAAGTTTCAAAAATACATATATGTCTAGACTTATCCCCCAGGGATTATGATTCCCCCATCTGAGTGATGTGCAGGCATATTTATTGTTTGTTTTATTTAAATAATAGTTTTTGGAGAAATAATTTTAGAATTACAGAAAAGTTGTCAAGATAGTACAAAAGTTACTATATACCTTTCACCCAGTTTACCCCAATATTAACATCTTATATAACCATGGTCCATTTGTCAAAACTAAGAAATTAAATAGTTACGCTACCATTAACTAGAGACATTATTCTGTTTTCATGAGTTTTTCCACTAATGTCCTTTTTCTGCTTCAGGATCCAATCCAGGATATAGCATTGCATTTAGGATGTTTTTATTTTAAAAGCACTCCAGACAATCTTAATGTGCAGCTAGGGTTGAGACCCACTGGTACAGTGGGATGTTACAATATTGTTTCCCTCCTATCTGCCTACCCCCTTTTGGGTATACATTAAATTTTTTACCATCAGGATGTATTCACTGTAAAATTATTCATACCCCCATTATATTTATTATACAACATAATGAGGGCAGCACAACCATATAATAGTTCCTTACCTCTCAGTGACACTTCAACATTTATACTTTCACATAGACTATTTTATTTGATCTGTACAAAAGTCTGTGAAAGAGGCCAGGCAGTGATTATCGCTTCCACTTAGAGATGAGGGAATAACACCATAGAGGGTAGTTACTCACCCAAAGTCACATCTGACTTCCTCAGTGCTTTTCGTTTCTTCTTTGGAATGCTTCTGTCTCAAGTTCACCTGCCAGAGTGGGTCAAAATTAGAAGGAAAAAAGAGTAAACTGAAGTCTCAAGTTCCAATAGTGTTGCATTAAGTGTACAGGAGCACAAAGATGAGATGGGGAAGTAGAGGGAAAGAGGGATGCAGTACGTTAGGGGAAGCTGAATTTCTCTCTCCACTTCTAGGGACCCTTTCTGCCTGCCCTCTTACATCACTCCCTGTATTCACACACAAATCTCTGCTTTCTCACCATTCTTGTTCAAACATCAGTGTGTATCTAAAATTCTTCCATCGTTCTTGGCTTAGAACCTTGAGGTGATAGAATTTAAGTTTTGCAAGAATCCACCTAGCTTGACTTTGTGCTACTCTCCACTCATGTTAAGCTCTTAGAAATCCATGAAACCTATGATATTATATTCAAAATGATGTGTGAGATGGTCCAAAGCTTTAATTGATTCTCAAAGGGTCCTTCACCCAAATGAAAGGTTAAGAATCATTCTACTGAGAAGCGTTTTTAAAAGTAGTACAAGCTGAAGACCACAGAATTATTTAGGTCATTTCTTTAAGGCAGATTTCTAGGTCCTATCTCTGGAGAAGAGGTTAAGTCTTATTAACTGCAAATAATCAGATATAACTCCAGACAGATAATAAGAACTTCAAATCATAGACTAATAAGTGTGATGCATGTTTAAGTTCCTGTTTTCAGTCCAGAGTAATTTTATCTTTAAAAGATGTAGCAATCTATTTCACTAGTATCCCCAAGTCAGCTTTGCATTTCAGCACTTGTCATACTTGGTAATTACATATTTTTGTGCGTAATTATCAACGTCTACCATGACCTCCAGCAGACCGAATATCTCTCTTCAAATCTAGTCTTTCCACAAATTAAGCGGGACTATCATTTTCAGCAACACCACCATCTAGTGGCAAGTGCAGTAATTCTGGCTTAGTTTTACAGCATGTAACTCCAATGGTTCTAAACTT